TTTTTGATTTTTTTAAAGGATATGGACAGATGGTCTCTTCCAAACTCAACTGGAATGGTTTAAAACATTTCTTCATCCCTCCCTTGTCACCTCTCTCCCACAGGTGTCACAACATACATAGCTGTACTATCAGAGTTAATGTGAACATTGCCTAAATCAACAGATTCATCCGAAGCACATACATAAGCAATTGGAGCTAACCTCATTTTTTGCCTGAAGCAGATTAGGAAGTTCTCCCACAAACCATTCTGACAACAGGATAGCAGAGAGCTATCCGCAGAGCTGGAGAGTGGTTTCATCCTAACCTCGTACTACTTGCTTAACCAAGGTCTAAGTGAAGGTCTATACACAACCTAAAGCAGATATATTTAATGATTGGGTGTTTTGTTCCTTCTATGCTCTCATGATCCATCCAATTAATTGCAACACTCTGAATTTACTTTTTGTGCCCTTTCTTCTACTATCATCAGTTACCCAAACTGACACAAAGTAGCACTACCTTTTGTTTGTTCACGCACAATGTGGCCAAAAAGGCTGGAGGTTATATACAGGAATTAAACTGGCCTAATACAATGAATATCGTTTGTAGATCAACTGACAATGAGCACCTTTCAATAATAAACTGTCCAATACCATTAAAGATGCAGATCTGAGTACACCCTAGAAAGTGGTGACCCGACTTCCAGAATTGCTCCCACTGTATCTATATTTTCTATTCTTTACTACTTAGTTTACTGTACTTGGACTTAGAATTTTGTTCAGTGCAAAATATCACTCATATTTCTTCTTCCTACCTTCAGAAACTCTACAACACTAGCATTGCACTTCAAACACACCATCTTTATATCTCAGTCATCTGAATTGCCAATATCCCTCATGAAAATAAGGATACTTTGCTGTGAAGTGCTGTGTTTTAAAGACAGGCCGCCTACCTTTCTGGAGTTTGAATGTTATCTAAGTCTTCTATGTCCAGTACCATCTGCTGAGATTCTTCCTTAGCTGCTTCTGTTTTTTCTTCAGCTAATTTTAAATAAGCTCGAACAACATCTTCCAAAGATTTGATGTTCACCTACATCAAAGGTAGAAAATGGGAAGATGTTTCCACCCACAACAGGCAGCAAATATTTCAAATGTAAATGCTACAAAACCAGGAACATCTAAAAGATAGATTAATTCTAACTGAAGACCAACCAGTTAGTTTTAGATCTTATCAGATGACATATACCATGCTTGCTACAAATTAAAAAAATAAAAATTCAGAAGCCATACCTGCTGACAAATATTTTTGTACTGGTACAGTCCTTCTTTTGCCAGATGACTCTTGCGGAGATCCACACAGAGTTCCAGGTACTTCAGCATAATCGGCTCGTGGATTTTCTGCCATGTTCGGTGTTTCTTACTTTTCATAACATCATAGAGAACATCAAGGGCAGGCTGCTTTTTGCCAACCTCAAGGAATTCTGAAAGTAAAATCCAATTAACAAAAGACTTACAAACCAGAAGATGCATGTTTTCATGCTTAACACTGTAAACGTTTAGAATTTAATCAACTCTAACCGGAGTTCGTTGACGGTTTGATTTAGCTGGCCATATCAAAAATGTTCGCAAATGCAACTGCAGTGTCGGTCTTTCAATAATATAACTAGAAAATGAACGCAGATCTCTTTATTAACATGAAAATTTCAGGATGCCAGAGATGTCTCTCCATCCATCAAGGCCCGACTGAGCACTTCATACATACTAATAAAATATACACATCCAGTTTTAAAGCTAGTTTCATCAAGAAAGACAACGAATACACACCACGAGGCTTGCAGTACAGCACCTACCAATATAATTCAACAAGATGCAAACCATCCAGTGAATCTGACTTTTAAAAAAAGTCCTGTCCTCAAAGAAAGAAAGGAGCTTGCATTTTTTTTTAAACTCAGTGGTCTAGAGATTCAGTTTATAGAACAGTTACACTAAAAGCTGCTACAGTCCAATTGAAGAATTAGGCATTTTCTAAACCAGCCTTGCTGCTGAAACCAGTGTCCCATTTATTCATTCCCTGAGCAGCTGCTGTTACTAACAGGATCTCTCAGCATCATAGCAATTCCCATCCATGACATACTGCATGCTCTTCTCAGTACAAGAAAAAAAAAAGGCAAAGCACCCAAGAGCAAATAACAAAGCAAGCACAGCCAGCTACCAGCAGGCACACAGGCTCTGCATTGAATGTACTATGGGAAGCAAACACGTTTAAAAGATAAAGAGAAGTCAAGTACAGCTAAAAGGGAATGTGTGCATTCTTAAAGGCTGAGGAGTGGAGTCAGTACTTTCCACGAAGTACTTCAGAAATTACTACATTCCTAAGGAAATAATGGCAGAAAGGATTAAAGTAAGGGCCTGCCCAAGGTGCTCAGACATCAGACATCAGAAGTTTTGGAATCTTAGAATCCAAGTTAAACATGGCTAAAAGATCTATTTTGAAAGCAGCAGTGCTATCTTAATTTAAGGACCACAATAACACATATTTGGGGCTTAGTTTACATAAATAATGAGCTTGCACAAGATAAGCACGTTAATTTATAGAAAAAACATACTGTCACACTTAAAGATAATTACGGTTACAGTGTGACAGTATTCAGTGGTATTACTTTTTACTCACTGAGGGAATTTTAATTAAGCTATCCTCCATCCCATAATTTACACTGTTATTCTATCTCAGTACTGTTTTTGAGGCAACTACTGCTCAGCTTTTCGATTTTTATTTATGGAAATAAATTTTAAATGCAACTTTAATATTGCAACAACACCAGGCCACTCCAACCACAGCTCTCAGCGGTCGATAACCAACTGGACAAAGCACAAAATTAATTCATATTGTTTTGCAACTTTTAATTAACTCTAGTCAAGCAAGTTCTTACCAGTAAGTCAAATAATTAAGGCTAACAGACAGTGCAGTAAAAGCACACTCAAAGTGAACCTGAAGAGTCAAAGAGAATCTGAAGAGAAAGCATCACCATGCCTTGCAGTAGAAACTGTACATTTTGGAAACAAAGATTTGCAACAGACAAAATGTAAAGCTGCTGTCAGAATTACATTTTTTCTAATTTTTCTATTTTTTTTCCTGTTATGCCACTTGAAATGCTAAAAGGTATCCTAAACAGCAACTGAAGCTCTGAGAGGACGTGAACTAGCTGATACACAATGACATCTCCTCTATTGTTAACCCAAAATCCTGAATGAAGCTGAGTTTTTGATCTGAGAAAATGTGTCATTACAGAAGGTGACAAAGATGTCACGCGTCATCCAATATCTCTAACAGACAGCAAACTCAAGATCTGCAACAATAAAACACTCCCAAAAGGTGCACTACGTCCTTGACTAAGTTGGGTACTGAGCTGTTGGAGAGTAGTGTAGGGGAGAAGGACCTGGGGGTCCTGGTGGACAGCAGGATGACCATGAGCCAGCACTGTGCCCTCGTGGCCAGGAAGGCCAATGGCATCCTGGGGTGTATCAGAAGGGGGGTGGTCAGTAGGTCGAGAGAGGTTCTCCTCCCCCTCTACTCTGCTCTGGTGAGACCACATCTGGAATATTGTGTCCAGTTCTGGGCCCCTCAGTTCAAGAGGGACAGGGAACTGCTGGAGAGAGTCCAGCGCAGAGCCACAAAGATGATGAAGGGAATGGAGCACCTCCCTGATGAGGAAAGGCTGAGGGAGCTGGGTCTCTTTAGCCTGGAAAAGAGGAGACTGAGGGGTGACCTAATTAATGTTTATAAATACGTGAAGGGTGAGTGTCAGGAGGATGGAGCCAGGCTCTTCTCTGTGACATCTAGTGATAGGACAAGGGGCAATGGGTTCAAGCTGGAACATAGGAGGTTCCACTTGAATATGAGGAAAAACTTCTTTACAGTGAGGGTGACAGAGCACTGGACCAGGCTGCCCAGAGAGGTTGTGGAGTCTCCTTCTCTGGAGACATTCAAAGCCCGCCTGGATGCGTTCCTGTGTGATCTGATCTAGGTGTCCTGCTCTGGCAGGGGGATTGGACTAGATGGTCTTTCGAGGTCCCTTCCAATCTCTAACATTCTGTGATTCTGTGATTCTGTGACTACAAAGCACTGCCAGATACTAACAACAGGTAAGGGTTGGCATTGACCTACATTCATCGTTTATAGCGAAAACCAGCCTTAAATGTCAGTTTAACATTAAATTGCTTCCTGCGACATACAACCTGCCTTAGGTACAGCTTCTCACCCTTTACTATACTTGGACACGGTGACATTGAGCCCCTGCAGTGAGCAAGACTTGACATTGCTTGTCATGTTTCCCACTCGGTCTAGCGAGACTCGGGATTGCTGGCATTAGAACACTCCCTTCAGTTCCAGTCCTTCAGTTCAACCTTACTCCATCAGTTCATTAGAATTCAGTAGACTCACAGCAGTGCAAGAGATGTGAATCTTAAAGCTGCTCTTCAATACCAGGAGAGCAATAACAAAATGTCAGATTTTAAGAGTTTAAGGTCAATATTCCAGCAATGTGACTTGCTCACCACATAAGTACAACTTACTCTAACCAGGAATTATGAAGTTTAACTGAAGTTTATATACTATGGTATGTGCATCATTTCCACTAAAAGGACTGCTAAAATACAATTTCATTTTTGGAAGTTGATTGAAGCTGATTTTATGTTTGTGGGAATGATTTTTACAATGAATTTTAGATTAGAAATCTTGAGGATGTGTAGTACTTCATTTAACATTTTCTCATTAAAATACCAAGTACTTGAATTACGTCTAGTCCCCCGAATACCCAGCTTCTTCATCTGTCATTTCAAGACCTTTACCTCATCTGTAATTTTCGGATGTCTTTAAGTGTCATCCTGCAGTCAGCCCTGTGACAATGAAAGGTCTAAATGGTCTTGCTAAGCGCTTAAAATAGGATACTATAAAAAAAAGAAGTGTCAAAGCCATATATTTAGCCTGAAAGGAGAGAGCTGATAAACATAACCAGTCCAGCTTTATATGCGGCAGTCAGCAAGGCACATCCACATTGCAGCTTCCCTTGGTTTCTATTCCAGAGGCAAACTTACGCATCAGCCTGTACAACATTTAGGGAGTTTAACCATTTGCATTCTCACCAGAGTCACATGAAGAATGTGACTACTAAAAACGACGCCCACGTGGAAAAACGTGACCGGGATCAGATCTGTTTCGAAATCATCCCGGATCCGGGGCAGACACCTGATGCCAAGCCCTGGGCCAGCGGAGAGCCCCCTCCCGTCGGCGGGCACGGCGGCGGCGGCTTTGCCGCGGCTCCCACGGGCGCAGG